ATCCGCTTAACTTGTGCAGCCTCAAGTTCGCAAACTAAAGCTCTGAACTGCTGTATAGGGTCTATCAGTTTGCCTCCTTCATCTTCAAATCTGAATTTTGTTTCATAGCCATTGTTTTTCTAGTGAGCGAAGGAGTGGCATAATCTGCCTTGAGTCATTCATGAATCTCCTTTACAGTCTTCAAGGGCTCATACTCGAGAGTATGGGCGTCATCCATGGCCATAAGTACAACATGCTTTGCCAGGATGTTTTTGCCCTCCCACTGAGCATAGGCATCCCTTATGGACTGCCTTTCTTAAACATTGCCTCTTGAGGAAGGTAGGGGATCATCAACAAGCATCTGGATAAGTTCTTCTTTGAAGAGGACATAACATATTTTTCTCTTCAAACTAGTATAGTTTTTCCCATCAAATCTTTCAGACTTAATAAAATCAGCCAAAAAACTTTTTGATGCCATGTTTCTAGACTCAAATAAAAACTCCTAGAATATAGGCTCTAATACCAGTGAAAGGAGTTACTATGTGGAACTCAAGGTAGTAATTTCAAAAAAAATTCTTATTTATTTATTTATTCAATATACCTGAATTCTACTTACGTGGGCCACTATACACTTCTGTAAATTAAAATTAAAATCCTAAATACAACTTAAGATATTTGCTTTTACTTCCAAAGCAAATAAAAATCACCTAGGTGCAATTACCGATCTTTCACTATAGTTTTGAGTACAAAATATGTTCTTGAAAATCCACAGAAAAATCTAAAATATGACTAAAAATCAACTGGGAAGACTTATTAGATGATGCCTGGAGTCACCCACAGGGTTTGATACACCCCACACCCGATTCCCTAACTGATGCCGTACTTTTGGTCCCTTTTGATCTTGCTAGAATTTCAGAGATGGGAAGCTAGGCAATATCTCTTAATCTAGGGTTTTAGAGAACATGAAAACCTTACAATGGTTTGTAGGAACCCTTAGGAACAAATTAGGATTGGGCTTGAAGGCATAGAATCCTCCTATGGCTAGGCATACCCCTTTTTCTTCTTCAAACAGCAAAACCCTAATTAGGGTTTCAATGTGCCACCCTTGTCTTATCAATTTTTGGGTGGCATGAACCTTTTCTAGAAAGGTGGAGAGAGAAAAATTTATTTTTTACTGAAAGAGAGAGATTTGGTGCATGGAAGAAGAGAGAAATATGTGTGATGAGAGAAAGGGGCTCAATGGTGTTTAAATAGAAATAATTCCTTCTATTTGGATGAGAATTCTTTCCTTAGATATTGCTTATCCAATGACACATCTTGACCAATGGGAACTTAAAAAATCTGTGGGGTGAGAGAGAACAACTCTGAGCCATCCATCCAACAAATCAACCGTCATTATTTTGAGAGGATTATTAGGAACCTTATCTCCTTGTAATTTGGACCAAGTTCAACTTCTATTTAAATTAGAATTATATCAATCCAAAACTTCCTAATATTTTTCCAAAATCTGTAGGAAGTCAAAATAATTAGAGTTTTCGTCAAACCAAATCATAGTTACCGGAATCTCTCCACCGATCTCGTATTTTCGGTTCCGAAACCCGATTCCACGTTTTCGTTAAGGAATCTCCACAGAAACCGTTTTTCGGAATCGAGAAAACTCGATTCCTTAATTTTAGAATCTCGATTGAACACATCTTTAGAAATCTTTTTTCGAAACCAAGTAAACTCGATTCCTTAATTTCGGTATCTCGATTCAACACATCTTTAGAAACCATTTATCGGAATCAGGGAAACTCAATTCCTTAATTTCAGAATCTCAATCCAACACATCTTTGAAAACTTGTACCTATTAATCGCGGGTAGCCGTTCCCAAATATATTGAATATGGATTCTAGCGAGATTAAATCTTGATTCCATGTCAATTTGGAGTCGAAATCTTCCTTTGAATGCTTTTAGTGGTTGCAGGGTTTCATTATTTTACTTGTGCCACCCTAGATGGCCTTTACTTTAAATTTAAAATATAATTGGTAAATACAACAAATACAATTAAAAGTAAAACCATGGTGTAGACATATAATTGTAAATCTCGATCTCAAATTGGCATGGATCTCTGATTTATATGATTTAAAAACTTGATTCCAAGTATGTTAGGATCATGATTCGAAACAACATATCTATGTTCGACATATGTCAGACACTCGATTCCATAGATGTCGGAAACTCGATTCTGCATATTCAAGAATCTTGACTCCTGGAGTGTTGATTCCAGGGGGATGGGAATCCTGATTCCAAGGAAGACGGAAAATATCGATTCCATAAGTGGATGAAACTTGGATCTATTTTGGTCGAAACACGATTCTCAAAAACTAGGAATCTCATTCATAGCGATTCCTATTGTACGGACAACGATTCCTAAGATAGGAATCTTCTAGCCGGATGTGATTCCGCGATTCCGGTTCCTAAAACAATTCGGGTTCCTAGGCATTTCTAACAACTATGAACCAAACTCCCCATTAAAATAATCTTTTATTTTAAAACTCCCACTTGAATAGGAAACAAATCTATTTTTTTTTTTTTAATAATTCCCTAACTAACCAAACTGTTACTAGAAGTGGTACAAACTAAATAAGAGGGGCATGCAACCCTTAGGACATCATGTTGGGCCCCACAAAGCCACATGTCCCACTCATGGGTGGCATACACATGTGGGGGTGGGATCCTTGGTCCCCACATGTGCCCTTCCTAGTTTTGAAAATTTTGAAAATACCCCTTTCAATGAACTTGCAACAGAAGTAAATTTAAAATTCTGAAAAATTTCTAAAAATTATAAAAATCTTTCTAATACCAAAATGAAATATTTTAGAAATGGATTGGTACTATTGGGTCAAAATTAGCGATAATAAACGCACTCCACTTGACTTAAGAATAATGATCTACTGCTGTTTTCTTATCGAATCCAATAAAGATCCATGTCCCATAGTTTCAATGCAGATGGCTCATATTTGGCTTGTCAATGTTAGACAATAAACAATGGAACCATGATCCTAGAATATGGATTACAATTCCCCCCCTTTAAGAGCAAGTCCAACATTTGTCCCTATGGTGCGAAGGGGGCTCTCTCTATGCATATGTACACATGTCCCTCTAAATGGCTGCTTCCGAGTAATGCGGTTGTCATGTGTACATGCTGTGCAGAAGTTTGTTAAGGCTTTGGCCATTGCTCTAACAGGCCAACATGTATACACAGGAGACCACACAATTCTCTTGGCCTACAAACATCATTGGACATCTTTCGACCTCGACCCACTGTAAACCCTTCTCGATAGTGCCACATGCCTAAGGGTAAGCGTTTTGGACATAGCCAGGGCCATAAACCGTTCAAGCCATGGTCAATCAACATACACACTCCCAGTAAAGTGCATATTCGTTATTTTATCAAGCCATCTAGGCCTTTAAAGGCCACAAAACCCAACACATTGTTGAGTCCCATAAAGGAAATCCTCATCTTTATTTGTGCCACCTAATTAGGAGGTGCATCTTGAAGGCTTGCATTTCCTAGGGCCTGTGAGAGTCATTGTTGTGACAATGGTGTAGAGACCTTGAGGAACTCTGTGCTGGGCTTGATGCTTATGATGTAGTTGGTGATATGGTATCTGGTTTCCACAATCATCCAAATATTGGAAGTAATTGCAAGATATTATATAATTTCATTCCCTTGAGAATGTAGCATTAGGTCATTGAAAAAGATATGAGAACAATGATAAATGCGACACTTGAGTGGAACAGAAGGTGAGGAGCATAGTCATTTTTTTGGGCAAAAAGATTCACAAGGCATGACATTATGACGACATATGATGCATTTCCAACTATGCTCAAACTTAGAATCGTCTACAATGAACATGTATACTTTTTGAATATGTTGCAGATGACACAGTATTATTATGAAAGGACTGGAATGGCTGGCATGATCAATTGTACCAGGTACCGGACCTGTATTTAGTCCCATATGATCACTGAACTGGAAGATTGGTCAAAACCAGTATGAACCGGCTACTTCAATGGTTGAACAAGTTGAACCACTTGGCACAAGCGGGTTTAGACTGGGCTTTGAATGGTATTCACTGGTTTTTTGTAATGTTTTTATTGTTTTCCTTTATTTTTGAAGTCTGGTCTTACTGCTGAAGCAGCCGGTTCGGATCAGGCAGGTGGCCTCACCACTTTGATGATTGGTCCGGTCTTGATAAAACTGTAGTCACTTGGACCCATGGGGCAGTTAGGAGGAAATTCTAGATCTATTTCTCCGATCCTATTGGACAGAAAAGGTAACATTGCCATGTTTGGGGTCTTCCCAACTATTGACGTGTGGTTATCACTTTGTTGTTGTATTCGCTGTTCAACTAGTCTCTCAGTGATAAGAGCCATGCTGATGCCACTTTTTGCTTGCCCCCTCTAATGATGAATGCAATGCATTCAATTCCTAGAGCCCCACATATTGTGGCGTACACCATCTCCATTGTGTCAATAGAATTATTGTGAATCAACTGCAAAAGGTGAGTTCAATTTCAAACTCGGAGCCAAGTTCCGGAGACAATAAAGTTGATTTGCTCCACTCACAAATAAATTTGTTCTGGTGGAGCATATCAAATTTTGTTACAAAGAAATTGGGGTAAAGAAATCTGAAACTTATGGGCTGGTAACACATCTATTGTGCGCAGCAAACTTGTTGAAGCTTTCATATAGCCTTTATGGTCCCCATCTGTGATGCAAATATCATATAAACTTATGAACAATCTTTTAGCGATTAAATTAAAAGAAAGAAATTCTAGTGAATAGGCCGTCTTCTTTGTATTTTCTTTAGCTACTAGTTTTGTTCTTGCATTGTTAAAGAAATTGATGATATGAAAATTCACATATTGAGTTCAAACATGATATGTTCTAATTTCAGATCTTGTATTAATGAAAAATTTATTTTATGAAACAAATTGGTGGTTAAAAGTTGTGCTGTAATGGCGGATTTCCAGAATTCAGGACAGGACCTGACCACAGCGGTTGATTCCAATGCCTCTAGCATGGTGATAATGCCTCCGACATCAGTGATTAAACAGCTGGGAATAGCTTTTGAGTAAGTATGCCTGTAAGACGTGTACCTTTTGTGTAATTATGCATTTTAGAAAATTTTTGACTTGCTTGTTTTCTGCAAATTGTTTACTTTAAGAACATTGTTGAATTTGAATTTAGGCTAGCATTTTGGAAATATGATCATGCATGGGCAGAATTCAAACCGAGGATTAGCTTTATATTGATATGTGAATCTTTGGAGTTGTAGGTTTTCTAATTTCATTTCATTCTTGGATCAACCATTTGAACAACATAGGTTGTCTATTAGTGGGTGAATTTATTGGGATGATGGAATATTTTTCATTTTTGGGTATCAAGGCTCCAAATACGTAATATGGGAATAATTCCATGTGCGAGGTAGGAGATTTGAGGACTTAATATTCATCCGTGGTATATATGATCAAGAATGGTCATGGATATCCATTGGCAACACCAACTCTTTAAGTGCTTTAATGGATCAAGTGAGAAATTTTTCCTCAAAAGAGTTATCTTTTTTGTTTTTTTTAGAATGGTTCTAAAAAAGAAATGCATAATACAAAGTTAACCAATATCCTTTCTTCACATGTAGAAACTAGATATGGTAATGGTTCCGGAATTTAGCCACCATATGTACTGTAATCATGCTCGATATTCTTTGTTAGTTCCTGAAAGAACATCACCATCATCATTATCCCGGCCTTATCCCAATTATTTGGGGTCGACTGCATGAATCCCGCTTCACCGTTTTTCTCTATTTAGGGTCATACCCTTAGTCAAACCATAAGTCACCATATCTCTTCTCACTACTTCCATCTATGTCCTCTTGTGCTTTCCCTTTGCCCGTTTTAGAGCCTTATACTTGAACAAAATTAGCCCTCCCAATCGGTGCTGTTTTTGATTGAAAGAACATATTATACAAAATATGGATGGGATTTATGTGGTACCCTTAATGAAGGTACAATTGAATAAGTGAAACCTCAGTTTGACAAAGATACAATGGCCTATTCGGCACATGTCGAGAATGTGGTTTGCTACTTTGCATTGACAATGGACTTGAAATTAGTCACCACTTGATCATAATAATCATCGTGATCCCCCAAGCCTTATCTCAACTATTTGGGTCGACTATATAAATCTTGTTTTTCCATTCTAGTTTATCAAGAACCAATACCTTCAGTAAGGCCATATATCACCATATCTTTTCACTACTTCCATCCATGCTCTTTTACGCCTTCCCCTTCCCCTTCCCCCCCCCCGTTTGGATCCTTCCACTTGAACCAAATTGCAACTTCTAACTGATGTCTTAGGTCTACACTGCACATAACCAACCCACCTAAGTCTACTTTCCCTCATCTATTAAAGCCACACCTAAATTCTCTCCAATGCATTCATTCTAAATTCTACCTTTTCTTGTGTTCCCAGTCATTCATCTGAGCTACACTCATCTTGTGGAAATGTTGTTTCTTGACCGTCCAATGTTCAGTCCCATAAAGCATAACTGGTCTTACAGCTGTCCTATAGAACTTTCCTTTCAGTTTCATTGGTATGCGGCACTCACATAAAACTTCAGATTCACGTCTCCACTCCGCTCACCCAGCTGTAATTCTATGCGCGGCATCTTCCTCAATCTCTTCATTCTCCTAAAAATAGTCACTAATTGGCGAAAGAAAGAAAAAAGAATGGACATGAAGGTATGCTCTAGCCATCTTTTAGGAGGTCATCACACATTAGTTTTTCCATGTTGTACCTAGTGGTTTTTGCATAGGGGTTATGCTTGACTCCTATTTAAAATCCATTTTTTATGTTCCTTCACATATATAGTTTGTTACAGGCCACTTGTCACTTGCTACCATAATTACCCAAATCTTTCACCAAAGGTTGTGATTTGTTTTCAAAAACTCGATTCGGCTTCCGATTAGGAATATTCATGGAACCTGTTTCCATGGTGGGGTCTAGAATATCGATTCTAACACTTGCAAAATCTCGTTTTCAATATTTATTGATTCTTGATTCTGCGATTGGTGAATCTCGATTCTAAAAAGTGATGTTTAGAACTTTTTAAGACATCAAACTTCTTGAGCTAGGCACTTAATCTCACGCTCTAACGTGTAGTCATCTTTCTTAACCTGAAATTACCAATAGAAACCAAAGTGGTAGTCCATGTTTGCTACTTAATTCTTTAAGTATGTATTGCATTAATCCAATGGAGAGATTGAAACTCCAAGATGTTGAAAATAATGTAAAGGTGCATGTATGGCATGCCAGTCAATGAATGACATGGAGACATGTATTGTTTCCCTCTAAGTTCCCTCCCGTTTCCAACGATGTCGGAATCTCGATTTCCATAAATGAAGGAATCTTGTTTCCATATTGGTCGATTCCAACTAGGTCAGAAACTTGATTCGAAAGTTCTAGGAATCTCGATTCCATCTATGTAGGGATCTCGATTCTAATTTGGTCGAATCTCGATTCCCAAAAATAGGAATCTCGACCCCACAGTTCCTTTTTTATTGACGTCTTTTGAAAACATGAATCTTCCATCCGGCGACTATTCCACGCTTTCGATTCCTAAATCGATTGGGGTAACTATACTTGCTGCCATACTAAGAGCTCGAACCAAGTGTTGTTGCTCTAATCACTCACTCATCAAATAACCAAAACTGAAAACTAAGAACCAAGTTCATCATGATTAGCATATGAATGTTATGCCGTGGCCCATTTGCATTGGCATGTCCACTAATATTAACATTGATCACATGCTGTCCTTTGCCTCAAAAGGTTTTGCAACATTGGGAAGTTATTTGTAAAGTGTTTGATGGGAGTTCCTTTCTTTATTAGTTGATTTTGTTTTGATTATAGTTGTTGGAAATGCCTATGATTCCGATTCATTTCAGGAATCGGAATCGTGGAATCGCATGTGCCAGATGATTCCTAATCTCGGAATCACCGTCCGGACAATGAAAACCATTGGAGGCAGGATTCTCAATAATCGGAATCGCGATCCGATAAAATAGGCATTGTGATCGTATTTGTAGGAATCGGTATCCCATCATATTACAATTGGGTCTCCTACCTTTCAAGAATCACACATAACCCCACACAGTTCAATGACTTTCAAAATCACGATCCGACGAAATAGGAATCGGTATTCCTATATTACTGGAATCATTGTCCCCACTCCCCATTGATTAGGAATCGAGATTCCCATAATTTTGGAATTGTGCACCCATCCCCTCCAGTATAAGAGAGAAATATTTTGCGAGAGAAGATTTAAAGTTTTATATAGATGATTGGGGATAGACAAATGATACTATAGTTTGACGCAAGTTATCTTTGTAAAAAACCAAGCAGATACTATAAATAATACCATAGCTTGATATTAGCTTGAAAGACCAAGATTTCACTTTTTCCTCCAAATCCAAGGACTGCAAGTGGCCATGAATTTCGATCACTGTTAACCCATTTCCTTTTTCTTTTCCTTTTTTTTTAGGGGTTTATGTCCATACCCCATCAAGTATACAATGATATAACGAGTGATAAGCATTTTACTCGGTGCTGTGGATGAACATTAATGAGCATTCTATTAATCACCTACCAAATATGCCCCACATAATCCTTTACTTGGTATAGTAAATGATCAATAATAAGCATTTGGTTATTGCAAGCATCCTATATGAACATCTTACTTTGAGGTGGGGTTGCCACCCAAATGTCTTACCTTGAGGTGGAATTGCCACCCAAATATCTTATGTTGAGGTGGAACTGTCGCTCACTTATTGATTTATAGATTGATAAATCCGTTGGGTAACTTGGCAGAGATTATTGTACATGGATTCATCTCGAAAGTTTATTAAGGCTTTTGGTTCACAACATCACAATCTTGAAACCCAAATCAGGGGTATTTAACCTTGTACGAAATTGTAACATGATACAAAAGATTTCTGAGAACTCTTTCGGTTGCATAGATTTAGTTCTTGGAACTCCTCCCACAACATACAATTTGTGAAAGTATTTCATTCAACATTTGCATTTGAAATTTGATTCCATGTCATTAGAACTTGATTCGATGTCGATTGAAACATTGTTTGGTGCATCTAAGAACTGTGAATTTTGATGATGTGGAGCTTGCTTCCAAGCAAGATGGATTCACAATTTGTAAAAAATTGGAATCATCTCCCACACGCTGAATCGCACTGTTGTGCAACTATGAATCGCAAATTCTGTGATACGGAATCTAGATTTCAGCCTTCTAAGAATCAAGATTCATATAATAATATGGAACGCGTTCCATGAAACTGGGAAACGTGATTCGTGTCTTCTAGATTCATGTTTCATCCTTGGAACCACAGAATCGTGATTCCAAACCAAAATGTTCGGAATCGCAACCTTGGTACGATTCGGGTAGCTATAGTTTTGATCTTCTCCACAAGCCTCTTGATATCCATTGCGTTGAAGAAATTGGTCATGTCGATGCACGCCCTAGAGTGCTTAATACAAAGTAGGGAAAGTAGTCCTTTTGTAAAGCATCCACTTAGTCCTTTCTATTTATAGACTAGAACTACACATTGTGGGCCCATAACTTGTTGTGTAAGTTACGATATAGGAGGTGCCCAAGTAGAATTATTTCTATAGAGTCAAAGGGTTTGAAGAATTCACATCAGAAGATGAAGTTGTATCTTTTGCAAAAAAAAAGCCAAATGTTTCTATTTTTATAGTCTGACGCATAGATACTTGAATATGCTTAAGGTACCGGTGTTATAAAATAAAATATTTTACATCATGATGTGGTGTATGCATCAACTTGTTGGATACATAGAGTTAACGCTTTATGGAAGCTATATTCACTTTGTCAGATAAGAAAGTTGTTTCTGTATCCCTATCCTGGATTTTTAAAAATGCAGAGCAATGTCCCTGCTCTCCGTCCCCTGCATTCATATCTATACCAGGGACCATAATTAAGGTTGTTTGTTTTTTAACTAATTTAAATTGGATTTAATGTTCCTATATATATTGCAGTAACGCGAT